TCAGTGGGGATGCTGTAGGATAGGCAGCTAGAAAAGAGATTCCCCGGGGGGCATGGGAGGCAGTTGGAGGTTGTGGGCTAAATGCATTAACTAGATGTTTCTCCTAAACTTAACAGCAGTGAATTACTTAATGCATATTGATGCATTTAGGTACTGGAGTTAACACTATATTGGGATGAAAAGTGAAATTTCTCAGCATCTCAGCGTGCTTTGCCTTAAGGACCCATGTCTTTGCAGCTGACACTACGGTTTTATTTTTATAAGGTGATCTTCAAAACCATAACATCGAGAAACAAGCTGTAATTCTGGAGCACCACTGCAGACATCAAAGTGGATTCCATCTGTACAAAATCAAGGAAAGTATGAGGTCTTAGCTAGACTAAATACCGACCAAATAGAGAATCTGGATGCATTATCCTTCCCAGCACATGAGGGTTGTTCAGCTCCAGAATTTTCATTTAGTTGATATTGGTGTTCCTGTATGCAACCAGAGCTGAATTCTGATTTCTCTCATGTTACTTTAAAACAGGTATAAGTCTGAAGCAGCTACAGCTGATGTGATAAGGTGGCTGCATTTATCTAGCACATTTATTAAATCTATTGCAAGGCTTCAACTCTGCTTGAAAACTAACTGTAAGTTTGAGCCCCTTTAGAAGAGTGGATCAAAGGCGGCCAGTGAAGCTCCCATGCTAAAACAAGCGCTTAATAACACATCAGCTTCTGTGTTTGCTCTCTGACTAAAGAAAAAGGACTGTGAATGTGCGATTAAGGGCAGAATTTGGCTCATTTACAATTCCTGAAAGGGTTGCTGCTCAGACCATAATCATATTTTTGGAACAGAACACGCCTATTACATCTTGTTGTTAATAATTTACTCCCTGGGTAGTGCTTATTACAACAGCATCATCTTAGTCGTGTTATGTTCGCAGCTGCTTCACCTACTGCGGTTATGAGAAAAAGCAAACACACACATGCGTACATATATACACATGCTTATACATACATAGAGGGGTCAATGTTCAAACACTCAAAATCTATTAACTTAGTTATCTGACAAGTTCATGGACCAGTGATGAGTGACCAAGAAGCGACACGTTTTAAGAAATGCTCTTTGCAAGGAAACTCCGATTTCCTATCCAAGACTGTGAAGAAATGGCTCTGGAGAGATTGTTTCAGGTAAATCACTCGCTCTGCTCACTTGAGCATCCCCACGGTCACTGACCACTGAGAAAGCCTCAATGAGATTTCGCAGAATGGGAGGAACGCCCTTTATACACACATTCCCACATTTTTATAATGAACGCAAACGTAACTGGAAGACTGATCAGACCTGGCTGCTACGGAGAACTTGATTCCTTGGTGTCAACAGATGTGAGGTCCAGCTGTGCGCGTGGAGCTAACTCCAGTTGAGCGGAGCCGAGACCCCAGTAGGTAATGAGCTATACCACCAGCTGTAATGGTTTCTCTTCGTTGACATGAAGCGTGGGCAGAGAGCACGTCATTCTGTTTGATCTACTAATCAGCGCTGATTCATGTTTACACTGCAGATAACATTTCATCTGCTTTTAGAAGGTCATTTTCAAGTGATGCTGTATGGTTTCAGTATTGCCTGATGCCTGCAATTTGAATATCCCTTGAAGGAAGCCAGACCTTAATTTTCCTTGTGGGCTAGAATTCATTCAGCTGTTAGCATCAACACAATTTCTCAAGCTGCAATATCAGATACTATACATTATAAATCATCTGTCACCCATAAAGATATAATACAAAAGGCAAAAAGTCCTTGTGAGCTTCATTTTTAGAAAAACAAACTAAGGCAATGAATAATTGTTTTTGTAGAGCCCAAAGTGTTTAACTCTGAATGCCTCAGATTCTGATACCAAAACTTTAGTTCCCACTGACCTTAGTAGGCACTTACTATTTCAGAGAAGCCCATGCTAAGCGACGCCTACAGAAAACACTGGAAATGTACAAAATGCTAAATTTCAAAACAGAATTGTAGGGTGAGTTTCCTGTCTATGTTGAAAGAATGGTTTGGTTTGGCCAACGCTATTAAACACGCGTGTCGTCAGTGAGAAGGGAGAAAATACACAATGACTGCCGCTTAAGGCTTGAGATGACACAAAGTCTGGGAAAGTGGTAAATAATTAAGAGGCCTCTAGATATGTGGAAAAGAAGTCAATGTGCAACGTACTATGGTCAAACATAAAATTGCCTCTGGACGCAAACAGTGTACCTGTGGCATGGGGCACCATTTTGGGAGAACGGTGGCAATGTCACCTTTGGGGTAAATGAGGTTGGTGGTACCTCCTGTGGTTTTGCTTCCCTTATTATCTTGAAAGGAGACCTCCCAGGAAAGGCCATGGCTACCTTCTGGTGGGTGAAGCTCCTTTTCCTGGAAAGAGGAGCATAAGGGATGCTCTACGTCCAAGTCTCCTTCCAACAGGAACTTTGGACATACTCTGGGCATGTAGCTTGAACGGGTGCGAGACCTGGAAATACTCCTCAGTCTTTCATAACCAAAGCCTCCGAGCAGAACTTGGGATCACAGCAAAAAACTGATGGACAAGGAGCTAAGGTTGAGCTCATGCCAAAATGACTAACATGCTCTGTGGATGTACGAATTCAAGTAGACGCAGGCAAATCACATTGCTCCTGCAACTGGTACTTGTACAACTTCTTACTGGAATAGCGTGTCTGGTTCTTATGGAAGTGCTCCAAAAAGGATGTTGACTAATTAGAAAAAGTTTAAGGAAGAGTCATATGAATCATTAAAGCTTCAGAAAACACGTCTTTTAGCAAGAGACTCCAAGATTGAGATAATCTTCTCTTTAAGAAACTGAATATAAGGGACAGTTTTATCTCAGCCTGTAAACAGCTAGAAGAATAACAAAAAATTTGTAACATGTTTTTCAGTCTAGCAGACAAGTGTACAACAAGATTCCCTGGCTAGAAGTCATGGATAAACCCATCCAAGACCTAAAAAAATGAATTAACCAGTAGAGACTGTGATACCAATTTCTGATCAACTGTTCTAGTTGACACAAAAAGAACTTCAGCAAAGTCCTTTGCTCTGTTTGATAGAGGTTTTACCACTTTATAATAGTGACCCTCCCTGTAAATGTACAAATTTACAATCTGCAAATCTGTAAGCTCCAAACACTGAATGGTCAAAATTAATGACTTACCAAAAAATACACTTTAGCAATTTGTTCAACTAACTTATGAGTGATTTCATTAGTCATTCTGCCTATTTCCTTGGCTAGTTTTCCTCTGTTCACCCCCAGGCTGTGTCTTCCTGGAGCCAGGCTAGATGATGAAAAGGCAGAAACTCTCAAAGAAGCTCTGGGAAAGTACATCCACATCAAACATGTATCCCAGGCTCTTTGCTTAATGGACAAAGACTTGTTTTCACTGTGCTAACACCGAGGAAACACCACTGTCAGGGGAGAGGGTGAGCTGAACCATGTTGTCCCTGGTGCAGCTCAGCTCTGACTAAGCTCATGTCCCCAGGCAAGACAGGACGAACCCAGCTGGAGTCTCAGAGCAGAAGTCATCAGTCAGAAACACCAATGTCCCTTGACTTGTGATCTGACCAGACCTGACCAGGGTATCACTAAAGAGGGACCAAATATCCTCCGTGCTAGCTGAGACACTCCTCTGACTGGCATGGAGTAGTCTGAAACATTATCATCATACGTTTAAAAAACCACCTTATTCCAACTTGGTTGTCCCCTGATCCCTGGTGTTTTGATTACTGTACAGTCTAAATGTCTCCACATGGGAGAGGCCTGGAGCAGACCACGTCATGGGAGAACAACGGATGCGATGGAAGGGAGGAGGATCACACATGACCATCCCTTGCCTGTAAAAGGTGCATTTGCTGGGTGGAGCATAGGTTCCTCTGTTCAGTTCTTCCTCTGTTCACTTGGAAGGTACATCCCATAGAATCATAGAATCATAGAATGGTTTGGGTTGGAAGGGACGTCTAAAGGCCATCTAGTCCAACCCCCCTGCCGTGGGCAGGGACAGCTTCAACTAGAGCAGGTTGCTCAGAGCCCCGTCCAACCTGACCTGGAATGTTTCCAGGGATGGGGCATCCACCACCCCTCTGGGCAACCTGGGCCAGTGCTTCACCACCCTCAGCGTAAAACATTTCTTCCTTATATCTAGACTAAATCTACCCCCCTTTAGTTTAAAGTCATCCTTCCTTGTCCTGTCCCAACAGGCCCTGCTACAAAGTTTGCCGCCATCTTTTTTACAAGCCCCCTTTAAGTACTGACAGGCTGCAAGAAGGTCTCCCCGGAGCCTTCTCTTCTCCAGGCTGCACAACCCCAACTCTCTCAGCCTTTCTTCATAGCAGAGCTGTTCCATCCCCCTGATCATTTTCGTGGCCCTCTTCTGGACCCGCTCCAACAGGTCCGTGTCTTTCTCATGCTGAGGGCTCCAGAGCTGGACGCAGTGCTCCAGGGGGGGTCTCACCAGAGCAGAGTAGAGGGGCAGAATCCCCTCCCTCGACCTGCTGGCCACGCTGCTTTGGATGCAGCCCAGGACACGATTGGCCTTCTGGGCTGCGAGCGCACATTGCCGGCTCATGTCCAGCTTTTCATCCACCAGTACCCCCAAGTCCTTCTCGGCAGGGCTGCTCTCAATCCCTTCATCCCCCAGCCTGGATTGATACCGGGGGTTGCCCCGACCCAGGTGCAGGACCTTGCACTTGGCCTTTGCACATCCCACCACATGATCCAAACACTGGTTAAAAGCACAGAAAAGCTGTGTGATGTTAATCTATGCCAGCATGCGCTAACAGGAGAGACTAACATAACCATCACCTGCCCAGTGAATCTGCACTTGTTCAAGTGAAGAAGACAGCAACCTCCTCCAACAAAAATGGAGGAGGCCCCATAGGAATGAGACTATGATCCAGGAAGGCAAAACAAGCAGTGGCATTGGTAAGCCCCTCTGAGCTATCCCACTGCAGTGACCAGACATGTACTGACCTCGGACATCTGCGGGAAGAGACTGATGGCCAAGGGGAGGGCCAGGCCAAAGGCAGCGAGGCACACAAGGCTTTGGACTGGGAGAATCATCCGGGGACGGGACCTCAGGAGTGATGTTCTGGAAAGGAAAGGCTTCGTTAGACCATTTCATAGACCAGGTGAGTGCATGCCATCATCAGAACGGACACCGGTGTTCACCCAGACCTACTGGTCTCCCTCTCCCTAACTGGTCTAGTTTCCTTCTTAGTAGGTCATCAACAAGTTCACCCACAAAAGATCCCGAGTCCTGCACACTGTGCTTTTGCATCTGCTGGGGTTACACAGCCCACGCCAACCAAGTGCTCGCTTCTCCTAAATTAAAATAGGATCACTTCACACACGCTTCCCCCATTTCAAATCATCTCACACTGGAGTAAGCGGCACACGAGGCGATCTGGCCGCACGCAGGTGTCACCTGCATTAAGGCTTTGGAGACTGTTGAGTGAGCAGAAGGAAATTAGGTTCTTGAGAGATATTGTGAACTTTGTCGGCCCTATCACGCGGTGGCACTGAAAAAGGCACGCGACTTTGTTAATGGGGTAGTAGAGTAGTAAACTTGACAATACCTTAATTTGTCAAAAATCAAACATCTGCAGAGTGGGTGATAAGGATGGTTAACGCTTGCTGTCCCCAGAGGATATTTATGAGTTCAAGGCTTGTTAACAGCAAACACTTTAAGATACCTGCAAGGTCAGGTTCTGATAACGACCCATTAAGTGACCCTTCTGATGTAATTAACACCGAATGACAGGGACAACATTTAGCTGGTAGAAGGTAGCATGTTAAGTATATCCCAGGATACAGGACCTCAGACAGTTTACAAGCGTTAAGGAGAAAAAATGTAATTCTTGAGGGGTTTGTTCTGGAGCTATTTACACCAAAAGGACACCTGTCATTCAACTTTTTTCTACCAATCTGAAAGTACTGGGAATATAAACCAGCAACTTGATAGTGAGTTTTGTTTGAACATTCAGTGTGTATTAGCAACGTAGAGAGTCAGCAGATTCGCTGCTGGGTCATCAGCTATGGTCTTAGTCCCAGTGTGCATCTCTCATCTGTCCATCCTGACCTTGAGGACACCAATGACTCACGGTGCCCTGCCATCAAACATGGGCAAAGATCTGCTGGTTAATGCCTTTCCACTGGGGTGATAACACAGGAGCTCCCTTTTGGTCAAGGAAGGTACAATCAGCTTACACTAACCGCTAAACATCATCATCACGGGGGTTTTAAGAAGCATTTCTAATCTAATGCACACCATTGACGAGGTGCCCACCAAAAACAAGACAAGCAACCCTTCCCACATCAGGGCATGCCGCTAGCCTGCTTTGGCACACACACCCCAGTGATTTTGCAGGCACATCTCCCCATGCAGCCCGTGCCTGCAGCCAATGCAAGATACCTGATTACCTCAACCCCCGTCTACTCCACGTTTACTGCAGGCTACAAACACGCACCTGACGAATTATAACGGAGCAGCTGATGTGTGGGAACTTGTTACCCTGCTGTACGTTGTCTGTGTGTCTGAACATTCAGACTCTTTGCCCTTTGCTAGCAATGCTTGCTGAAAGCTGTCTTCATCTTGAGAAGGTTTGGGGGAAGTGGGGAAGGAAAACAAGATCCAGAGCCTTAACTCCTCCAATATCTCAGCTCCTCACTAATAAGCTATCGAGACGGGAGTTGATCCTATCAATTTGTGCTGTGAAAGCCAAGCTTCTGTTCTGCAATATTTAGCTACTTTGTTTTGCATAGAGCACGATCTAACCTAAAAGACTCCTGCAGAAGTCCACAAGGATTTTGTCCGAGTCAGGAAAGCAGGTTACCTTGTTCCATGCTCTTTAATAAGCGCAACGTTCAAGAATTGCCATCAATAAGCTGTGATAACTAGTTCCCGGGATGCAGAGGGGCAACTCCTGGAACCGATTTATTCTCCTGCTTAAGCTGTTGTGATCCATGAGAGCCCTCGCTGAGAAAATTGTATGACCAGCATCCTTCAAGCCTCCCTGGAGAACAGTTTAGAACCAAGACATCACTGCTTATACCACCCCTGATATCTTAATTTGGAAGCTACACCCTCTTTAATTACTGCCCTGTTGGGGACCTTATAATCACCCAAGTAAAAACTCAACCAATTTAAAATGATCCCCGGTACAGCCCCCAGGTGTGATTTCCAGGAGTGCTTCAAGCTCAGGCCAGTTCAAATTACAACGGCTAACCTCCTAATTAAGAAGAGTTATGGCTTGATTTAAAAAGGAGAGGGGACTAATTAACACATGTAGTGTAATGTCTTAATTGGGATTCAGATTCTAAAATTTGTGTAGTTCAGAATAAATGACTCATAATTAGTCGAGAGGTCCACTTTTCTTCTGTCCCTCGGATCTTTGCTCTTGACACAGATCTCAGAAGAGTATTAAGTTAAATATTGCATGCTGCATTTTGTTAGCTGTCAAATGCAATCAGAAAACCCTCTTTTCACCCATTAGCCCCCCATCGGAAGCGAATGATTAGATGTTTCCAGAGGGTTTAATTGCAGAGTATTATAGCAGATTAAAAATAAATAGTATTAATATCCATTTGTTGGAGAGTGAATTAGGTTACAACTGCCCTGTGTGCTCTGCCAAGGGGTTTGATCAGGGAAGTGGAGGCCTGGACCTTTAGATCCCCCTGACAGCCCAACTTTGCCATTGGCATCTTCTGAAGCAGACCGCTATATTCACAAGAGCAAGTATCATCTTACCCTACCAGTAATTCTGCAGAAGTACTTGAAGCTATTTTCATACGAGAACAGTAGTTTTACAGACTGTCACCATGTACACAGGACAGGACTGGCTTCAGGCTCAGATTAGACAACATGGGATTGAAAAGTTTGCACCAAGAGAAGGTCTCACATTGGAAATCTGTAGGAAGACAATAGTATGTATGTTTTATCGTTCCCAATTTTAGAAGCCAAATTTTTGGCACCAATGGTCTGCCTCGCTAGTATAAATGATCCATGTTTATACATCGACCTTTGGACGGCAAAGAACATGCATTTTTGCAATACTTCCCTCGTCCTCTCTCTTTTTTCTTCTTTTTTTTTTTTTTTTGAAGATTTGTTTCTTTACCCGCCTTCAAAATCCCCTAATGCCTATTCTTTCTGCAATTTGCCTTCATAAGACTTGCCTAGCAGATATTAAAAAGGCAGTAACACGCTGGGGAGCTTCTGGCTTACGGATCCTAGGTAGCGCTTACTGTTAACGGATATACCTAAGCCAGCAAGACCTTACGGATAACATTTCAATATGCATGAGTGTGCATGTACGTAGGTATATGCACAGACACACGCATACTTGTACAGACAGTACATCTGCTCCGCAGAGACAGTGTGTTGTAGATCTTGTAAATACACCTTCATTCAACTTTCATCACATTGTTCATTAGTGGTTTAAATTTTGCATAATTTGGCAGCTGCCTCTGGCGTTTTTCAAGAGGTACTGTAATTTATTCCATATGGAAGTCAGTTGCTGTACTAAAAAGGAGTTATCAGGTTCAGTGAACCAGAGCTGTATTTGTCTAGAAGGAGGTGTCAGATGCTAAACTAAATATGACAGGAGTTAACCAAAGTCTCCCAGCTGACAGATTCTGTGGGGTTTCTGTAGTGTTTGGTATAAACAGGTTCAAAGCTAATACATACATCGCAAGACACTGAGGATGCCAGCGGGGTAAGAAAAGCGCTGGAGGCTGAAGCTCTGGGTATCCCCAGGCATCCCAGGCTCCTCAGAGCCCGGGGTTCAAAACACCCCTCTGATGTGCAAACAAACTTCGGGGTGGTTGACCTACCCCAGATCCCAGTTCTGCTGAGAACCTCCCAGAGCCGGCACCGTACCACGTCTCTGCTTCAGAGAGCCCGTCAGGTCTCTCTGCTGGCTGCAGAGGGTGTTTCTGAGCTTTTCTCACTCATTTTGGGTCACCTGGGGAATCCTGAGCTCTTCTAGCGACCAGTAGCTCTGTCTGCTGTCCTGTCCAGCCAGGCGACCGCTGTCCTCACCAAGGAGCATCTCCTGCGCTTGGCTATAGCCCCAGTGCCCCCTCCAGAGGACATAGCAGATGCAAACAGAGTGAGGTGGGGGGATTTTTGTGCTTGATTGACATAATTAAAGGAGCAGTTTCAATGTTTACTCTGGAAACAGCCACAGCAGTTTAAGGTGTCACTGCTGGCAGCTGTTTAGTTTAAACAAACTTCAGCGAGGGTTTAGCTGGACGGAGAGACTTTGCACTTCAGAGGAGGAAAAGCACTTGTAGGAAACGTTCCGCACACTCTGTCAGGAGAATATCTCCAGCAAAAGGCCATGAACACAAGGTCCAGGAGGGCCTCCTACCTCACACACACTTCTGCAGTGAAAAACATGATTTAAGCTGAAGAAAACTCCCTTCCAGCACCAAAAAACTATGGGCTGAGCACTCGCTATCCATCAAGAGAATCCATTTTTCATGGTTAGAATGACTTAGCTAAGCCAGAGCAGCTCTGTAATGTTGATCCATCTTGGGAGCCTCCTAATTTTATGAGCTTTACAGGAAAACAGCCCTGACGACTGCTGCGTGAGGATGCTGACATGCTGTGGCAACTCTGCCACAAGATCGGGATGGTGTGGAGATGAAGAAAGAGTAGAAACACTCTTCTTTCATGGACACAACTATTCTGCTCCCTGCTTCTCTCTCAGCTCTTGCCCACTGCCAACAGTTCCAGCTTTCTCTCTCCTCCATAAACACTGCACAGTCAGCTCTAGGGCTTCCTCTTGTCTAGCCTGACATACATGAGCTCTTGGAGACCATCCTCAGACCTTCTGCTATGCTTCAGACCCTCTGAGGTTGCTTGTACTGTGAGGCAGAGAAGAGGCTTTAGGATAAGGAGATAAGAAGAGCTCACGTTCTTCCGTCTCCACTGCCAGCTGTCAGCTCAAAGTGTCCACAGCAGACACTGCTGGTGGACCTAGCTGTGGTCTGCTTGTCCACCACTCGCCCAGACCACATGAACCAAGTACCACTGGATTTGGGCTCTCCCGCCACGGAGCTCAGCCTACAGGGGAACCTGAGGTTGCACTTACACACAGACCTGGACGGTCTACACATAGACCAGCTGCGCGATGGGCTTCAACTCTGCAAGGAGTTGGAAGCCGGACAAAGACTACTGGAGAAGTCTTGGATGATGGCTGGGAGAAACCTGCACCATTTCCCAAATTTCATCATAACTACCAGACAAAAAGATTCACAGAAGCCTCTGAATCCTGGAAATCTCCAAGGGATGAGAAGTCCAACTTCATGCAGTGGACATAGTTGTCCCCACATCCCTGTGACATGGAGGTACTAATGAAGTTTCCATTGTCTGCTCCAAAGTCAACTACATCCCACAGATGAGTCGTCTTTGTCTAATGGACGATGTGAAACCAATATTTTTCCGTATTAAAGTTGCCAACGTGGATATTATTTATAAAACTTAAATGAGAATACATCTGCACAAAATAACTGACACCGTGTTCCCCGCATGGCATATGCAGTCTCAAAATAAACATTGATTCTATATGTTAGCTGCTTCAACAGAGCGTCCAAGCAGCAGGAAATGCATGAAACATGGGGAAAGAATGGCGCGCTGTGGAGCTCAGCAGTGGGAGGTAACATTGAATTACTTGGAGAGCAGAGAAGGCGGCCCTGGGAGTTAAAATACACAGCAGGCAAAGAGACGAGAGAAGCCAAGAGAGCTGAAAAAAATGGCACAAGAGATGAGAGAGGCAGCTGGGGGAGTTAAAACATGCAGATGGAGAGATGGCTGAGAGAGAGGAAAGACCTGGATCCAAGTGGAAAGACGACGACCAGGAACTGGCCACTTAAAATAAACTTTTCGAATACCGAGACGAAAACGAGGGAGCGAGTTTTCCATGAATCTGAAAACCGCTGCTGGGAGCACGTAGCTTGCTCCTGGGGTGGTGCAACTCCCACCCAGCTGCAGCACCGTCACCCACTTCCACCCGGACTTAAATGCAAGGCAGGAGAATCGCTCTCCTCCTTCGCCACAACCCCAAATGCAAATGACTTAGTAGAGGATCCAGATTGCGACTTCTGATTCCAGATCTCCAGCCTCCAAATAATAAGCCGTCACTCTCATCTTTCTCATTTATAGACACTGTAAGGATTTCTATAAATAAATTGATAATGCATGCCTTGATATGACTCTCATTAAAAACACCCTAGTCTAACTAAAATTCTACTAAATTAAAAAAGTTAAACTTTTCACCAAATGCTCCGAGGTTTTTTTCCAAAATGAGGTTGCACCTTTGACTGTCTCCTTCAATAACCACTTTAAAAGATCTGTGAGTCATCACCTGGACTGTGAATCCCTCGGCTATGGAAAGGGATGCTCTCCATGTCAGGTGGATGCTTCCATGTCCTACAGGGATACCACCTCTACCTGCCTGGCCAAACCGCACCCCACTCCCCGTCCCTGCTGTTTCTCACTCACAGGCCTCCAGGAATTCAAAGACATTTGATGGAAAACGAAACAGTCGGCACAAAGCTCTAAGTAGAATTTAGGCAGGCAAAAATCAGTGCCCAGATATTTTTATATCTACAGAGTTTCATTTGGGGGCGGTGGGGAGGAAAGTATTCTCTTGTAAACCTGAATTAAGTCTTTCTATCAGTTAAAATGACGACTTTTTGAAGACAACCTCCTGTATTCCTACATTTGCTTGACAGATAAAATTAGTTTCGGTAAGTCTTGCACAGAGCACAGGTGCATTTAGTAAAACTCATTATATCAGTACAAGAAGTTATGATGCCGCCAAGCGCGAAGCAAATTTTACTGTTAGTTTTCTTTGAGCTTCTGGATGTTTAGCAAGACCCATGGTGTCCTCAGTGACGACAATCCTTTATAGACCAGATTTCTAGAAACTTTGCATTTTTGCACATAAAGATTTTTGACTGTTCATGTTGATAACCAGAATAGCAAAGAACCTCTGAATTATACGGATAAAATAGTTTGTCCTCTAGGGTGATCCTTCCTAATCACCAAGGTATGGTTAGACTGGAACCAGTGCCCATGTTAAGCCAGCGGTAACACACGCAGCCGCTTCGGTGCAAAGCCTCACTGTGACAGAAAGGCGAAAAGAAAGAGCTCTGTGGTAAGAACATCCACAAATCGGTGGCATTTCTGAAGTGTCTGGCATGTGGACAGATGAAAACAGAAGTCCTCTCGACTGACAACAGCAAAGCAGCTTTGATGGGATTATAAAGGCTAGAATCACGCATCTGAATTTGAAGCAGGGAAGCTGCCAAGATGCTGGGGTACAAAGATAAGTGACAATCCCTGTTCTTCTTACACACAATTTTGAGCAAGCCCTGAGCAAGGTACTCCAGAGTAAGACATGGTCACTCCTGAGCACCTCTCCTGCAGGTAGATCATGGGCTGGGGGACCGTGTGGGTGACACAGGGACTTGAAGCAGGAAAGAGGCTGCACAGCTTTTGTCAAGGAGGAGCATGAAGTGAAAATCAAATGCTTTGCACAAAATTAGGGGGACTGGAATCTACCCCTTGTCCTTGCGTGTCTCCAGCAGACGTCTCCAAAGAGTGGCTTGCAGCAAGTGTTACCAAGACTGTGCCCTGCTGCAGGGAACCACCACAGCCCCTTTGAAAAAGACAGGAAAACAGTGTATTTTGGCCAAAAAGGGCTGAAAGAACTTACTTTAGAGTTCCCAAAACAGAGTTTGTTGCCCTGTTTTTCCCCACACCCAGGCCATGGGAGGAACCGATCTTGGTGAGAGCCTCTAGGTGCTAGAGAGGTACTAGACTGTATCTACATTTTTAAATTTAGATGTTAAAAATCAGTCTCCAAATTTACAGAAGCAGCCCCGACCCTTCCCTTAAGGAGAGAAAATTGCCCAGGGGTGTTTCTACAAGGGTAAACAAGGCTAACCGAAGTTATGGGTCAATCCCTAATTGCACTAATTACTATTTACTTTGTCAGTGGAGTGCTTTAGAGCGGCCATTATCAACAGATTTGTTTAAAGAGTGCTTCCAGCTTGGCTGTCTGGACAAAGGTAGCAAGCCCTTTAGCACCCCCATCTTTCAATGCACTAATCAGTCTCCAGAGGTTGGCAAGGTGATCCCTACCCCACGGATTATTCACACCCAACGAGCCGCTGATGGGTGTCCTAAGGAGCCATAGGCACCCAACGGCTCCAAACAGGCTCACAGCATCTCTGGGCAGAAGAAAAAGCGGAGGTGTTGGAAAGCAAGGTGGGAGAACGGCCAATGGACAGGGCAGTCTGGGGTTTTTTTGGTATTAAGAACTCTGATAAGAGATAACTGGACATGAAATAATAACCCTGCCCTTTCCTGCCCACCCTCCTAGCACTGATGCTCCACGGAGACATCTGCCAGGAGAGATTCTGGCTTAAATGGTGATGGAAAGCAAATTTCTGCAGAATATGTGAAGCGTATATTCTTCTGGGCCTTAGCCACAGCCACCAAGCCACCAAGCCACAGCACGTTATTGAACAAAAGTACAAGCGAGTTCAAACTGGGCATAAGCAAGTCCAACAGTGGCCAAGGTGGTCTGGACGCGGCGCGTGGTCAGCCAGTCCCTACGCTCCCTATCACTGGCTGAACACAAGCCAAGACCTTTAGTCTGACCCCATGTGGCAGCTCTAATGTTTGCTAAGCGGAGGACCGAAAACTTACGGTCACTTCACTGAATTCAGAGAGTTTTGGCTCACGCTGACCTTAGAGAATAGGGTTATTCAAACTGCTGGGGTCTCAGAAAGATGATTTAAAATAACCACATCAATATAACACTTTAACAGCCTACAGCAACGGTCAAAAATGATGGAACATGAAAATTTTAATAAGCAAAAAAAAGTCTTTGATGGACCAATGCTAAGACATACCAATGAATAACACCTACTGAGGATCTTTTCTCCCCTCCCCTTGAAAAGCCCCCCCTTCGTATTACCCAACACTTACTTTTCCAGTATGGACATAATAATTGGAGGTAGAACCAGTATAGGCATTGGCAGGACCACTCTAGTCAGGGCTGTTTCTAGCAGTGCCTGAAAGGGAAAAACAAACAAACAAACCCAGGACATTTAAAACAAACCTCGGGATGTACCTGCGCTGAGCAATCAACGCGTGGGCACAGAAATGGTTTGGCTGGCCTTTCTTGTGTTGCGTATGTGAATGAATGTATCAACACACACTTTCAACTTCGCTATCAGCTCTTTGTATACAACCCATTTTTGCTCTGTTGCTACAAACGGCGGGCTGGAGCCCATACTTGGTCACAAATCCAGCAGAATAAACAGAGACACCTAATAGCTTCCCTGATTTCACTTTATGTGACCAAAAGTGCTCAAACATCTCGTCACATTCCTACACAAACATGTTAGTGCTGCCTGGGGGAAGAAAGAGAGGCAAAACAGCTGCCTGGAGGATGCGGTAAGGTGAAATATCTCAGTACGGGCTGAGCAGCAGCTTCAACCCTTCCCCCTTTAACTGAATTTCAATTTCAATTATGTGCTGGCGGAACACAGTACCTTATCACCTGCTTCCAAGACTTGTTTCTGTTTTTTTAATCACTGGTGGTTTATTGCAAAGCATCGTAACACACAGGGCTCTCCTCTCTCAGGAAGACACCCAACTGCGGAGCTACGGTTGTCCCTCCGCCGGTGCTTTCTCCCTGGCAAGACTCACCAGAAAGCAGCAAACAGAACAGCTTGGCAGCACGATACATTTAAATTACCCTGAAATGAGACCTAGAGAAGGTCATGGGTGCTCTAGCAAGGTGTTTAAGCATCACTGTGTCTCCGTTTGCCTCTTCCAACCACCTTTGCCAGCACCTACCTGGGATACTCCAAACACTGTGACCACCCACGGGGCTTCGGCAGACCTAGGCAGAGGATACCACAGATTTTGGATGGAAATGCTGAAACTTATGCATACGGACAGGCTTGGGAGCACTCACTCCTTCCAAACGGGAGAAGGTCAGAGAGGTGCAGATGTGTTACACAGAGGATCTGCCAAATTTTACACGACCAAACCCAGTACTAAGCTATTCAGGAAGAAGCATCGGGATTAGATGGCAGCTGAGCAGAAGTTCTCAGAAGTCCCAAATTTGACGTTTAAACTCCACCTAAATCACACTTACAATACCTTCGCTTTTAATATTTATTTTCGTGTTGTCTGTCTTCCCCTCGACCATTAGGATGGAAAGGGGAAGCTGGGTCCTGAAGCCAGTTAATGTGAGTGAGGAAAACTGGCTCAAATAAGTATCTCTGAGCCCTTCAACAGATTGTTTTAATCTCCCTGTTAAACAACAATATGGAGAGATATTAGAGATCTCCCATTTCTTGCCGAGGACTGTAAATCTGTACATTAATTGCTGTCTATGAAGTGCCTTAAGAGCCTTGGACAGAAGGAGCGAGAGAAATGCCAAGCATTATATTATTAACTCCTCTGCCTGGGCGTGTGCTTTGGTACATGCTTTACATTTCAGATTAAAGCCCACTTGGAAACAACATGCCTCAGACAATCAGATGATGCTCAGAAGACAAAACTATGTAAGAAGGGAAGAAAAGGGAATAATTGCAGGCAGATGGCAGAGAGTGGAAGGTTACAGGGCAAAACAAACCAGGTGTTAGGATGAGGATAAAAACATCTGGCTACCCTCACAAAGCTTTGGTTGGCAATTGTTAATGCAGTTTTGACATGGCAAGAGTTAAAAAGCTACTCAGCTCGAAAATGAAGTCTTCCTCATTTAGAAAAAGGTGTAAGTTATCTTTGCTTCGTATTCAACATGAACTGCTTACAAGTTTCCACAAAGAAATCCTAAGGCTGTGAATGTATCAGAGTAGTACAGGATCTTCCTGATGTCAGTCTGCGCCCTTCCAAACCATCAAGGTCAGCCACCAAATTTGCCTGCGTGACACGAGCCTGTGTCCACCAGCACGCTCAGTTTTGTGGCTATGCAACTGCATGCGGGGGTACAAAGCAGGCATTAAGTTTTGCCGCTTCGTTCTTCCTGCATGATGGGTAAAGCTCATCTATTCCTAGCTCTTTCAAGGCATCGATTCCTACAGCTGGGGGATTCGTTGAGCCTGAAGGCCAGCTGTGTACAAGCTCACCCGAGTGTTCGCCAGGAACATCACAGGTACATACGTGTTTTGCAGCAATTCTGGAAGACCCGACAATGTTTCCGTTATTGTCCAAAACATCAATTCCTTCTTCCAGCTCTGTGTGCCTCATCAGGACAACATTGCAGATATTGGCACTAGCTGAGGATGAGAAAAGCATGATGATTAGCAACGCAGCCCTGGTCAATACCAAATGGCAGGCTTCTGTTCGCCGTGACAGCCCTTCAGCTTTGCTTGCATCAATCTGCCAAGAAGTTTCTGCAAGTCAAGGAGCCACTCTTATACCAAGACAAAGATGCGATTCTTAAGAGGAGAATAATAATCAAGATAATTTTCTTTTACTTGCAAAAGGATCTGCTGCCACAATCAGAAACGCACTGACGCAAAGAAATACCAGTATTTCCCGATGTTGGTGTTCAGACATGCTCTCAACTCCCATAGCGATTCTTCGCCCGACATTTTGATCTACTAAGTCAAACGTGTCCTTGCACCGGGCTACCAGTTGGTCTTGGCCAACCAGGCACTGCTGATTGACAGCTGCCTCCTCTGATGGTACATCCCAGAGCTGGTTTTAACTCCCCTTACGAAGCCAGCAGACAAACTCTTCTTAAATAATGGATTTTAGCAGGTATGACGGAAATACACTGCAAGGGATTTCACTGAGCTACGAAGGACAGCTTAGATCTGAGCTCTTAAAGAGGACAGAATTATTTTTTTTTAATCAAATAAGACAAGGTTGGGCTGTTTCCATGGACACATATCCCATTAGCAGGGGTCCTGCTGACTATTTGCCCTTATTTCACAGGTATTAGAGGAAAAATGGCTCTGTGGACTTATTTTCTATTAGAGACCTGCTTGTTTGCTTTAACAGTATTTTTCCGAGCTGCGACACAAACCAGCAGTGCTTTGGAGGGCTCTGGTTCCCAACATTCACATTTCCCAAATATCAGCCCTGCATTCGCAGCGGAGGCAGAGGCAGCTCTGGGACCCTTTCTGACACCCCCCCCTTGCCCAGCCTGTGGCTTTTGTAGCCTCCTCGAGGTAACCCCAAATTCTGCTCCTCAAGTAACGTGTTGGAGTTGGGGTTGAGGAACGTCCCTCCCAGATGCAGCTCCTCTCCAGGGCCCAGGCAATTCTTAAATTTTTCCAAAGAAAAGCTGCTAATTCCTATAAAAGTTTTGGTTTTGATAAACTGGCATTTTCCAGCACACCCCCCCCACCACCACATTTTGTTGCAAACTTTCCAACCAGAACTAACACAAACCCACTGTTGCTGCAAGTACCACTGCTTCCAAAAATGTGTTTCTGTACTGCTTGATGGGTTAATATTCGCTAATTAATCTCAATTCATGTCATATAACAAATGTCTAATTTTTTGAGGGTGGTGGGTGGGTGAGCCCTATACGAATGCAGCTCTCTGCAATCAAGGATGATTTGTGGTGACAAATGCTCCTTACACTCGAGAATAAGAGGAACATACACACACGCACACTCTGTCTCTCTCTTTAATATTCAAACTACGGGACCACTCTTCCCATCTATCAAAATATCTGTGTTACCAACCCTTCAGCTCCCTAATCCAAGACAAAAAAGAAAACAGGCATTTCATTTAAAGCCAGTTTAGCTCCTCTTTTTTTTTTTCTTTTTTAACACTCACATGCCCCGTCCTTCTAGCTTTCAGTCAAGACTGAACATATAAGAACACACCAGCAGAGATGCTCTGGCCAAGCCAGGATGCACCAGCACAAGGCTCTTGCGAGACTCATGATGGGGTGTCCAAACATGAAGCTCCCACCACAGTTAGATGCTTCTCCAAGTCTCTGGATCCTATTAGGGCGTCACTGACCAGGTCCCAAATTCAAGCCCTGATTCCAGACCGTTTGTCTGAGACAAGCAACTGTCTTAGTTGCTCCCGTTCTGTTTCAGTAAAACACTGAGAAAGCAGAAAAAGCTGCTAATTATGGGTAAACTTGGATTTTATGGAAGTCTCAAATACAGGGGGAATGATAAATAAATAAATATATATGTAGACAATTTGATTTTCAGAATTTGGAAAAAAAAACGTGATAATATAGCCTGGAAACTACTTCTGTGAAAACACTTAGTGACATATTAGAAACTGAGTTCAGATACAAAAGCAACCCACTACCCTACTTCTACAGGTGTATAAATATCCTTTCAAAACCAGGGTGCTCTCCACACGCTAAATACGCCCTTGTGCACCACCTAAACACATTTCACAATTTTAACCCCACCCACAAAAAAAAAAGCCCAAGGAGAAGAAATTCTCCCTCCTCCTCACCTCCCTTCCCTCCAACGGGTATCTTTCTACCAGCTTTAACTTCCTTTGGATCAGGTTTGGGATGCCACCTTTGGAGTTTTGGGGGGGTTTCTGTGGGTTTTTTTAGCCACATACATCTCTAGTATAAAGCACACCGTCACCAGCGACACCCCTTACCTTTGTGACAGCTATCCACACCCAGTGCTTGGGAAGAAGTGGGTAAATTGGATCCTTCGCAATAACCCCGGGCATTGATGTCCTTCACCACCTACATCTCCAAGAAAGGGTCAAGCCCCTTCTTGTTCAAATTCAGGAATTGCAGCTCTCCAGAACACAGCACGGACACACTCCTTCCCTTCTCCTGCACTGAAAACCTTCATGGAGCACAGCTTCACCGCCCAGACATTGCTCCGGGACGGCCAACATCAAGCACAAACCCCTCTTGCATCAAGCCAGCCCCTGGGTATGCAGAGCCTTGGCCATTTCCATGAGCTCTTCCACCCAGGATGGTTTGCTGGACCCATCCCCCAGGGCTGAGGAGGATTTTTCAGACAGCCTGTGATTTTCAGCTACTACAAATTACCTTTGGCAGAGGGTGAGGGCACGGTCCGACCTCCCGGCACCCTGCTCCAGTGCCACCGGCTGTGATGTGGGGATCAGAGCAATCGGAGCCTGCACCAGCTACTTGGGTACATTCATGACTGGCCACAGTCTGTGTTGTCACAAGTGAGGTCTGGAGGCCCCTGCAGATACATCCTCATGCCCTGCACTCATCTTGGGGTCCCATGGTGAAAGTGGATTTCAAGGAGGAACCACTTATGTTAAATACGTCCTACAGGCAGCATTTCTGCGGATATGGTTTAGTTTATTGGGCAAAGACAACTGTTACATGACCCAGAGAAGACAGACGCAACATGTGGAGCATCTCTGAGGGCAGCAAGACTCATAGACCAGTTTTCCCAGGGCCTGCCCCAGCTTCCCAAGGCTTTACAAGACTGTTTATTGACATCCCTGCTGGGACTCTGGCTGCCTTTCACCTGAGCAGTAGCTGCGCTACCCCAAGTCTCCATCTCTCATGATCCCTTGGGATGAGAGACCATAAAGCTTTGATGAATACCTCCAGTTTTCCAGCTGCTATCAACCAGCACAGCTCAGCAGAGGTCAGTGGGAGAGGGAGGCGAAGAAGGGCCAGGGGAAAACGGCTTAATGGTAGCGGAGCAAAAGCTTTACACCAGCATCTGGCTTTTCACATAGAAAAGGTGAAATTCTGCCCTTTTGCTGGGAGCTGGCGGTTCAAAAGCAACAGGAAGACACATCTTAATTAAACAGTTTGTCCAGGTCTGCAAACCAATAACTTGCAGCTTTCAAAACCACAAAACAGCAATTAGTGGGAGGATTTCTGATGTCCTGGCACATAATGAAGCATGACAGTACACAAATAAAACAAGAACTAAAGAATTAATTATGGGCTAAACAACTTAATTATGGGTCCTCAATCAATGCCAACACAAGCATAACCTCTTTCTCTTCACATTTTGGTAAGAAAATAGATCAGCCCGGCAGCAAAGACTTCCCGCGTGCATCTCTGACTCAAACCCAGGCTCGGAGCTGCCTCCCGGCTCTTGCGCTCACCTCTAGTGCCCTCCTGGTTATAAAAATCAAAGGAAAGCTGAAACCCTCTAAAAGTATATTCCAGGAAAGTTCCAGGAAAACAATAACAACGTCCACAGATTCTCTATATAGAAGCAAAGTGCTCAGAAAAAAGCCTGAGTGCAACCTACAGACCACAGTCCCTGTTGCCCCCTGCTCTGCAGACAGGGCAACCAACAACCTGGGGCCTTTATAAATAAACAAGCGTATATAAAAAATTACCCTTACGCCACTGGCGATTTCTTCACAGCTAAAATAACTCATCATTTGCTGAACGTTGTAACCACGGGCTTCAGTAAAGGCTGAGTCCAGCATGTCCCTTCCCTCAACCACCGAGCAGTTAGGTGATAAACTGCAGAAGGGTTTATTTTGTGCTCCAGCAAGCCAGCAGCAGCCTTAATTCTTCACACACTTCGGTCTTTTTTTAATCGGTGGCTCTTAGAAATCTGTACATTCAGAGGAGGAGCATTTCATTGCATTTTTATTGCAAAAAAAACCCTAACGCTACCACTTATTTGAAGATTTGATTTGACATGATTCAAACCAGGTCTTGCGAATTAAATGCTCTCGAATTTGGACGGTCGAGGACCGGTCAACACCGATTATTTTTTTAAACTGCTTGAGAGTGGAAAGCACAGCTTCATAAAGCCTCGTGAGCTGCCTCCGCCAGCAGCTTTGCATCATCTCGTCACTGTCTGCGCTGACTCAGGGACCCACCGCCGAGGGGACACGGCAGCAACGGCGTAAAGCAGGAAGGCAGGAGTTAGGTGTCCACGCCAGTGGCTTTTAGCCACGGCTAGGTTTACAGCCATCACTTTGAATATAGAGAAAAGGCGTTATTTCTTACCGACAGCAGGGAATGGCACAAACCTCTGGATCAAGAGACGAGTGGCAGGGGTAAACTTGTTTGCTCTCTGAACCAGAACATTAAGGCCCACCTTTCAATAGAAAAAAAAACAAAACAGAGAAGCAGAAACATTTAGCTACAAGGAGCAGGGCAGATGCCACAGCTTGCAGACAGCAGCAGAGCTCTTCAAGGGGACAGACTGGGGTCTCTCCCCACGCAGAAGCGTTTGAGAACTAAACTCCCCCCACACTGCAGGGTTTAGCTGTGTTGGGTTCAACCCTTTATTCAACGAAGGGTTGAACCCAACTGTTGGGTTGAACCCGACCGTTGGGTTTAAATGAAGGGCTGAACCCAACCATTGGGCTGAACCCAACCATTGGGTTTAAACCCTTTCCAGCCAAAAGACAGGCTAGAAACCACTGCAACGTCGTTCAGTCCTTCTGGATCTGCATTTTTACCCAGTTCACTGGCATTTTCCCCATCCAGCACAAAATCAGTAGGGCTGGGAGTCACCACCCGGCTAGGAAAAAGCCAAATATCAGTGGTGGTGGTGGTTGGCCCAACATAAGTCATTCCTCCCCCCAGGGTCTGTGCAAACTACACCACCTCACTCCATTGCAAACATTTGGGCTATAAAGGAGCTATTAATAGAAACAAGGAATAGCAGGCAGTTTATTATAACCGTGGATCATTTTTCTGTTGCCTCCTCCAACACTTGAATAATGCAGAGCGCTCTGCAGTTTTGCAGGGATCTAAGTCATTGCGTATGTTAATATAAACAGCACGGAGGAGAGTTGCTGCCTCGTCAGCCTCAGCGTGGTTGGATAGTAGTGATAGTCAGAGAATTTCCATCAAAATTTGTTTCAAGCAGAACTGGGGTTATTAATTAAACAAACGTATTTGCAGGGAATGACTTCTGTCTTCAAATTACTCTCCCCTACAATATTTTCTCTTTTTCATCCAAAAAAACCCAGATGCGCAAACAAAACCCAACAGCCCCAAACCGGGAATTTTAGGCCGAAAATGGAAGTCTTTAGCAACGCCTGGCCAAAAAGTTTTCAGCCAAAAACGCAGCAAAATTAAAAAAAAAAAGAAAATTCAGCCAAAGCCAAAAACTTGCCAGCAAATAGTGATTTGGGGTCTTTTAAAAAAAAAAAAAGAAAGAAAGAAAAGAAAAAGAAAAGAAAAGCATGGGAGAACATATTTTGCAAGCTGCTACATTATACATGCATCCACAGCGCATCTCGCTTTTTTGGAGGCTGAGGGGAAGATGTTGAGAAGCACAACTGCTGGGTAAGCCCTGCATAAGTAGAGTGCTGGTTTTCAAAACCCGTGGAGCGTTTCCAGAGCCCCACGAGGCTTTCACCAAGGCCCCAAGCAGGAACCCTTCCTCCTCTCCTTGGCCACCGCGACTCTAGCACTGAGCCCAAGAGAACCACAGCGGTTCTTCTTAGTCTGGGCAAGAATGAGGGTTTTGTCTTAATCTTCTTCTCCCTCAAAAATGACTGAATAATTTTTTTTACGTTTTCCAAGTGCTGGGATGCGTATTTGCAAAATCTGAATGCTTCCAGAAACTGTAAAGCAGTCTAAAACGTGTGGCTTTAAGAGTAAAACAGTCTTAAGCCCGGCTTTGCTGGTACTGCCCCATGGATTTGGGTATTTATAGCCTGGATGCAGTTCATCTGGGTCGATGACAAATTTTGTTGGGTTTGCAGCCTCTGCTTGTAGGTTTGATGGAAGGATTTGACCGTGAAGTGGAAGAGCAGCAGCTTTTGAAACAGAAAAGATGAGTCTGGGAGAGACACCGCTGTGAGGCTAGTGGTAATAAAAGCATTTTACTTTCAGATTCAATTTGGTGCTGCAGATGAACTCGCTCCTCCACTTACAGCAACCACCCCGCTGTGAATATGAAATTAAATGTTGCTATAGATTTAAATCCAATCTCCCAAATTCCCAACATGAGGACCAGATTTAGGAAACTAATGAGGGTTTGTTTTTTACAGTTTTGAAATTGCTT